AATTTTTTTTCTATTGTACCTGTTGTCTTGTCAATAGTTGAAAATGATTGGATTAAGTATTTAAATTTGATCATTTAGAGGAAGAAAAAAAAAGGTATATTGATGACATTTACCATTGTTAATGAACAACTGTCTATGAAAGGAAGATTGAATATCAAATAACGATAACCTTCCAAATGAGAGTTTTTATCATGACCTTTATCTCTTTCTGTTTGGTGTTTTAACAAGTTCATTCATTTTATCGTATAACAAAAAGATTAAATTCATACGTCTGTTCTAACAAAAATATTGTTGAATTAGAGAATAAATCAAATATGATAATAATAATGAAAAAATATAATTGTTTATGAAAAAAAATAAATAAAATAAATATTCGCATGATTGATTTTTAAAATATTTGCATGAATAAAGCCTTCTTTTTTTTTTTGTTCGTTTCTTTCGAACAGAATAGAAAGAGAAAAAAAAGAAATCATGTCGAACTTACTTTATGATTATCGGTTGAAACAAGTATCAAACCTTCAATCGGTTGATCACGAGTATATGATGATGATAATGATAATGATAACTTCTTTTATCAATCATTGTTAATTATAGGTGTTAGATATAAAATAACAGTATGATATCTAATATGAATAAATGAAGAAAAAAAACGAAATAAACTTTTTAATTATATAAATAATGATGAGGCGGATAAGGTAAGAAGAAGAAGTAAAATTCAATAATTATTATTCGTATATGAGAGAAAAGGATATAAACTATTCTATTCGAGGGAAGGTTAACACGGCTAGATGCATATATTTAAAAGTCTATTTGCGCGAAAAAACACAGTCGCTTCTTTATGACAGTATGTATGCATATATATATATATATAAATATATATGCGATACAATTTCAGCTTTAGGGTTTTTTGCATCCATGTATGTGTGTACCGCCTTACTTCATTTTTTTTCATCACTCAAAAAGAAGAAAAAAAAGAAGAAAAAAAAAGACGTCAATCGAGTATTCTTAACTATTTGTTACATATACACATATACATAGACGAAAAAAAAAAGTTTTGTATATACATGAAGATCAATTTCATTATTGTCGTTGGATGATAGTCAAACACCTGTTTTATCCATTTGTTGATAAGACGAAAGAGAAAAAAAAAGAAAAAAGAGTAAGAGACATAAATACAACGACATTTTACGATATCATGAGATGTATAAGAGTAATATTTAATCGATAAAGATACTCATTTTAGACTCAACTAACATATGGATAATATCTACGCATTTTATTCGTAAATACGTTCGTTCTTCTACTAAAATTGTATATATATATGTATATATTCGAACGTCTATTAAGTCAAACTGTTCGCTTGTTTTCTTTTACTTAATTCATTTTATTTCGATTATATCATATATATATATATATAACTATTCTTGTCGCTGTTCATATGTATTTGTATTTGTTTGATCCCTCAATGAACATATACATATGCATATTGTGATACATACGGATGCATTTATAAGAGTCTTCAATGAACATTTGAGAGATGTAATAATATAAAATATGATAAAAATGACAGCGAATTACGAATAAATACAGCTGATTTTTCTTTTTAATCTATGAGAATATTCGAAAAAACTAGATAAGATGTGTTGTTGTTATTCGATATAATCAATGAAATATAATATTTTTTAGATAAAATTTACTAGTCTTTTCGTATATAAGAAAAGAAATAGTCTATTTCACTGGAATGATCTTTTTTTATTAAACAAATCAATTGTGTTCGCATGATTAATTTCTTAAATATATACAATATATATTATAGGAACTATTATAAAAATATTTATTATAATAAATTTTGTTTTTCGATCAAATTATAATTGTTTATGCAAATTATGCTTATTAAATAATATTATAGTGCAAATTAACGTTAAACTGCTACTAGAAATAAAATATTTTTTTTCCGCACAGTTAATTTATACTGATAAATTATGTAAAACTTCTTTAGTTTTATCAAATTTGTAGTACGAAAATTTATTTTATAGTATCAAAGAGATCTTTTTCAACAACATGTCATAAAAAAAACTACTGTAGACATAAAATCATTCTTCACCATAACTAAAACTAACTTTCTGCAGGATAATAAATCGTGTTTATCATTTTACTTTCAACTAACCATTAATTGAAGTTTTAAATTTAATTCTATGATTATTTTCTTAATAATAATTGAAATATTCAAAAAAAGAATTTTTATTCACGATCGTTTTATTTTAGTCTTTAATATACAGTGTATCAAAGTGTTCAAATTAACACTTTCGAAACAGCGAGAAATACATCACGCGTCAACAACTATACCACTTTATATGCTCTAAGAGCGATTCATATGTACATATATATATACAGACGAACTAGTGTCACACCCAGGCGGTCTATGCATTACTATTATTATTACTAACGGGCCTACTAAAATGAGCCCTGAGGCGTAATAAAAACGATGTAATAGAATATCCTTGACCACTCATCATGAACGAATCAAACAGAAATAGTGAAATATTGCGCAAAGAGAGAAAAAGAAATATCGATCGTATACATATATGCTTATATAAAAAAGAGAACATAACGAAGCGTACCTATTGCTAATCGTGATTATTATTTTTCTCTATTCATATATATATATATATATAATATATATACGCATCTCTCCATTTACTTTTCTCCTATCTTTTTGATTGTCAATCAATTGGAAGGTAAGTGAATCTTTTCATAATACTCACAAATACAAATTTATTTAGATATTATAAATGACTGGAACATTTGATTACGGATATTTAAGTACACCAACAGGTCAACTTAATATTGCTGAAATAGTATGTTAAATTCATTTTCTCATGGTTGTTATTGAAACATATGAAGTGATTTTAGGTTTGTTTAATTGGTGCTTTGATTAGTATTGGATTTACATCACGTTTATATTGTGAATTAGTTGATAATTTACAATGGATTTATCCTGAACTAAGTACATTACTTGTTCGATCAACTTATCAAGCATTTGCTATATTTTGTTTTACTGTAACAATTGTAATTCTTATTGTACATATTTATGGTATACGTTTTACAGGTAGAAATTATTCTTATATAAATCGAATTGTAAGAATTTATTTATTTCAATTCGATTGAGAAGATTATTCTTTTTTCTAAGTGTTTAATTTTTAATGTCATCATGGGACTTATGATGATAATAATTGGTATATGTGCAGCATTTTGGGAAGATAAACTTAGACGTACACCTGCTATTATTCGACGAGGATATTTAGAAAATGGATATCAACAAATTTACGGTGAGACAACTCATCCACGACCAGGTGCAGCAGCAGCAGCAGCCGTAAGTTTATGGAATGAACAACAAGAACAAAAAAAAGATTTTACAATTATTTTTTTTTCTACTTAGGTCTTTGCTATTTTAACTGGTATTCTATTTATTATTGAAGCCTGTACACGACCTATGTTAGATACAGGTGTAAAACCTGTTCCAACACATTATACAATACCAGTTATACCTCAACGTGAAGTGATAAAGAATAACAAAGGTGAACGTATAATACCGATCGAAAGAATAATATGACATATTCAAGTAGAAATAGATTTCTATGTAATTTTTGCTACGCTTTTATTATATTTTAAAATCAATAGAAAAATCTTTATGATTAATAAAAAGACAAACACTTGTATTCGATTTTCTTTCAAGATTGAACAATTATGCCTTTTATAGATATTATATCGATTAAATTGAAATACGTGTTTATAGTTGTGTGAATGAAACTGAAGATGTCGAAAAGGAAATTTAATTTGAATGAACTAAATAAAATAAACAGATCATTGAATCTGAATAATGTTCATATTAATAATGTTGAAAGAATTTCAAGGTCATTAAATATAGGTAAGTGCATATTCAAAGGGTAATTCTTTAGAGACTATCACTGAGTACATTATGAAAAGGTATACTAGTCAGTTAGTTACAACTATGTCATTGGAAATGTGATAGAAATTGTTTATTTTGCCATAAGTTTTAATTCTGCAATATAGTGAACTGAAACTTTTTATTGAGACAGAAGTAGGTTTATCATATGATGTTGATCATTTTATGTATGTTTAATAATATGTCGCTGCTCTCTTCTTTCATAGTTAAAACCGCGTTGAATAATGCGCAATATTCTGATTCGAAATAAACAAATATTTTTGTTGTAATACAACTTCAAAGAGGTTTACTGCATGAATTGTATTAGTCGAATAATACATCTCACATTATTCACTCTTAGTGTAGACAAACATAAGAGTTTATTTCATTGAAATGGCAACTGATGAAGATGTATTAATATGGATCGATTTAGAAATGGATGGATTAGATTTAAATAAAAATTTTATTCTAGAAATTGCATGTATTCTTACGGATTTTAATTTAACAAATATTCATGAAGGTAATTTTTGTTTTTTTGTGTATTAATATTTTCTATTGATTTAGGTCCTGATCTTGTTATTCATCATCCAAAATCACTAATGGATGCAATGGGACCTTGGTGTATGGAACATCATACAAAATCAGGTCTTGTTCAACAAGTTTTAAATAGTAAATTAACTATGATCGATGCTGAAACTGAAATAATAAATTTTATTGAACAAACCATATCAACAATAACAAAAAATAAAAAACGTTTAATTCTTGCCGGTAATTCTGTTTATGTTGATCGTTATTTTATTGAAAAAGATATGCCACGTTTAAATTCTCTACTTGATCGATCAATTCTTGATTGTAGTACATTAAAAGAATTAATTCGTCGATTTAATTCTCAAATTTATCATAATGCACCAATTAAAGGTGGAAATCTTCATCGTGCATTGGATGATATTCGAAATAGTATTGAAGAATTTCGATATTATCAAACAACAGCATTTGAAGAAAAACAACAAATTCAAGAAGAAACTTTATCATCAAATAAAAATATTTCACAATATCTTGTATGGATTAATATTCATTCAACATTGATTCATTGTATTTTAACTGATAATACTCTTAATATAATTGATGAAATTACCGATGGAAAAACAGATGATGATTTAATAAATTTTTTCTATCGAAATCGTATTCGTCAGGAACGAATGGTGGTTGTTGCTGGTACATATTTAGGTTCAGTTCGTGCTGAATTAAAAACTTTAGCACCGAATTTCAATGAATTCTGTCATTATCGATCAATTGATATTGATGTAATATCACTTATATGTGAAAAATGGTTTCCGAATATTTATAAACAACGACCAATTGGTGATGATTTAAAACATTCTATTGAACTTCTTCGCTTTTATCGATCAAATATATTTAAATAAAATAGATATATAACAAAAGAGAATTAAAAAAATCTTTTTTTTTATAAAACATTGAAAAAAAGAGGAAAAACACTTTTGACTAATTGTTTTGTTTTATCATCATTTTTTGTTGTTGCTGTTGTTGTTATGGTTCTATGAGCAGAAGGTGGTGCAGTTGTTGGACGATTTGTCGAACGAGCAGATAGAATACTAGGATGATTATTTGATGATGACGATGAATTAATCGAACTGTTTACTCGAGTTAAATGTGACGAATGATATTGATTTGATTGTTGAGGTACAGAGGAGGATGAAGTTTGTAAAGATAAATTTATATTACGAACACAAATAGTAAGTAATTGATTAACACTGTCAAGTAGCGAAGAAGCATCGGGAAATTTACGTTGAGATAAGAGAAAAAATGCTTCAATAAAAGCTGAAAATGGTAAACCTAAAATTATGAATATGACATTATTTACATCTATTATTTGTCTGATAAATCTACCTGTTGAAGGAGTACGTAAAACAAATTGTTGCCATTTTCTTAATATTTGATAATAGAGAATATCTATTGAAGATGTTGTAATTGTTTCATTATTAATTCCACATATACTATTTAATTACAAAAATTACCGTTAATTAAGTTTTAGAGTGATTTTGACATACTTTATAAAACTACGAAATTGTAGACTAGTCATTGTTTTATGTCCAAGTATAGTAACAAATTGAATGTAAATATAAGCAATTTTATCTAATAAAATTAAATGTTGATATTTTGTTTTTTGAATTGATGAAAAAATAAGTTTTAATTTTTTATCGGATTCAATTCGAATTGTTGATCGATAACGACTTGTTGCAGATTTAATAATTGGTCGTCTACTCATAGCAGATGATATTCGATATGGATGAATCGAACTTGTTTCAGGTAATAATGTAATAGGTGGTCCAATTTCATCATCATCTTCTTCTGTATCGGAGATGTTTTTCGTTTTTCTAATTAGAAGATTTGTTGATGGTTTCATTTGTTCTTGTTGTAAATCTTCAGATTCTTTTTTTTTACGTTCAGGTGGTCGAGAGAATAATGGATTGGATTTTAAATCAAAATGTTTTCGTGCACTTTTAATTCTTTCATATCGTTCATCAATCCGACGTTGAGCTACTTTTTCAAGACGTTGTGATAATAATTCATCGTTCGCTTCTTTTTGATTATGACGTGCTCTAAATTTTATTGAATAAAGAACGAATTAATTATTGAATTTAGAAAAATATGAATGATACAAATATTGAGATAGTTCCCTTATTAGCGATATGATATACTACCTCAACTGTGCCTCAGAAATCGACTTTCCATCAGGATTGCTCCCACTCCTCAATGCTTTTTTGGATCCGCCACTGTATTTAACAGAACATATATTGATTATATATACACTAGTTTTGAAATAGAATCTACTTACAGTGTATTTAATTTTTTCTTTGGCAATGCTAATTTGAGTGTTTCTAATATTAATGGTTTTTTAATTTCTTCATCTATTGGACTTGATTGATAAACTAATTTTCCTACAAATTAATGACAAAAAATTTTTCTTTTATGGAAAATTATAAATGAATTCTACCTGTATCATTTTCTTTATCAAAATCAATTCGAAGTGAAGGATTTGCATTAACTTCCAATAACATTGGTTTTAAATCATCCGTAAGAATAATATCAAAACCAACAATCTATATATATATGAAAAAATTCATTCATATCTAAATAAATATTTTCTATACTTGAAAACATGATACATTAGATTTCTTTGCAGATGGTAATTCAAATTCATATTCAACACGAAGTTCAGGTAAAATTGCTAAAATAGTTTTATTAATCATTTCTGTAATTAATATTTTTGTTTTTTCTATTTTATCATCACCAAACATATGAATCAATTGAGCCCAAACGGTACTCAGTGTACGTTTACTCCCATCAGTTTGTTTACTATCAAATGCATGTTTATAATTTGAACTCCGTTTATTTAAAGAATAATTTGTTAAATGCATATATGTTTGATGAAGATTTTCAGTTGATGGTGGATTATAATTAATTGTTGCAAAACGAACTAGTCCTTCATCATATAAATAGATTTCTAATGGATATATATTTAGAATAAGAACATAAATTCGTAAATCAAATTTAAGTCCATTAATTAATAATGGTCGATCGAGATATTCTTTAAATAATTGAATAGGTTATTTAAAAAAACTCTTATTTAGACAAACCTTGTATAACATGTGGACGATTAGTAACAATATAATGAGCTGGATCTCGAACTAAATAAATACCTTCACCTTGCGAACCATCTACGAAAGAATAAGCAAAAAATAAATTTAAGTTTCCTTGATAATAAAAAGATTTAACCTGATGGTTTAACAATGAATGTTGTTAATGAACGATCATGTTTTCTATCTTGTTGATGAATATAACGTACATCATCTTTAAACTGTTGATTTTGTTCAGGTAAAAACCATGTTTTAGGATAAAAATCAAATTCATTTGGAAATAATAATCTCATATTATTTAATGAACGTGTTAAATGAACTTTACGTAATAAATCATTCATACTTGGAAATTTATTAATTCGACCTGAATTAATTGTAAAATTTGTATTACCCTCATGAAATGATGATGAATGCCAATAAATATCAGAATCAGGCATTGTACTAAATGTACACTAGAAAAATAAATCATCAGAAAACAATATAATTCATGTAAATTAAATACTTCTTTCCATCCAAGTTCTTTAATACACATTCGAACTACATCAAGATTCGAACGTGCTTTACTTGTATCGACTGTTATTTGATGTTTTCCTATATTATTATTATTATTATCTTCAGTTTTTGTTGTTATTGTTAATTTTGATAGTTTTGTTGAATTGACATCAGTTTGTAAGGATGACATTGGTATTTTTTTTTCTGATGATTGTTTTGCTGCTGATTTGATTTTTCTCGGACGTTTTGGTGTTTTTATTCTTTTACTGGGTTTTGGATTTACTAAATCTACTTGACTTGCTTGATTAATAAGTGTTTTATCTTGTTCATTATTATTATTATTATTATCATCATCAGAAAAAGTATTTACACTTGTACATTTTAACAAAGGATCAATATCATCTTGATATATATTATCATTATCATTCTGTACCATCTCAGTCATTAAAACACTAAGAGGTCTAAGAAAATCATCTACTTTTTCTTCTTCTTCTTCTTCCCTGTTAGTTGCCATTGATCAGGATAATTGGAAATATTACACAAGAATTTTTAAGTTGCAAATGAAATCATACAATTTGTTCATTTCATTAAATATCTTAATATGAAAATAAATTTTTGATGTTTAGGTTATTTTTTATTCGTAACAAGAGAAAAATGAGCTAGTCGGTTAAATATACTCACTTAAACGTTGTATTCGACACACAATACTTTTATTAAAAACTGTATTTACTTTTGTGACATGCTTGTTTATGTAAGTTGACGACGGGAGAAAGACGCGTGTATACACTTTTCGATTCTTTTTCAACAATTGCTAATATTAATCTGATTTAATGAATTCATAAGTAAAGTCAACAAGATTTATTGATAAAGCAAAAGGAAAGAATGAATAAAATAGCACTTATTCGGTATCGAAATGAAAAATGAACTTAGTAAGTATTGAAATACGCAGAAAAAAGAATAAATAATGTAAAATTTTACTTAGAACTAAAAGCTGCATTTAATTTTAACAGATTTTACTTACAATTCTTTATCAGATAATGTATTTGTTATTTAACAAAAAAAAATAAATGTTGTTATCGTTGTTTTGTTCCATGATCGTTTGATGTATGATCATTTTTTTATTTTTTTAACACTCCATGTTTTCTACCACAACGCAAAAATACCGTAGTAACGTTAATTTACAGAAAGAACAAAAAAATCGTCGATGACAACAACTATACAACATATGTGTTGTTAAATACAAACTACCGTTCTCTTTTTTTTGCTTTTTCATAGTTGATGAGAAAGTGTTGTATGGTGAACTAAAGATTGTTACAGTGCAACTTGTAGAAAATGATAGTTTTCGAAGCTTAATAACAGTTCGTTTATTTATGAATAAAACGCGACTATTTATAGGACAAGAAATGGTTACTTTGAATTATTCGTATTTCTTGTAATACAATATAATCTAAGTAAATACTCAAGTGATGTCCTTTCATTCATCACCTGGAAATTTCAATATAAGTAAAAAAGAACGAATTAAGATAACGAAAGGAAAATCCCACATGATCATATATGAACAAAAGAAGGAAAATACCAGATAGATAGATCAGGAGCGGATCTAGGATTTTGGAAGGGGGGGGGCGATTTTGGCTAAAAGCTATTTTTCGAGTCCAATCGAAGTAGTGTGAATCTATTTTTTCGTTCATTTTTGCTGCAAAAAAAATTCGAAACGGGGGATCGCCCCCTCCTCCTAAACCCGCCACTGAGATAGATATATGTGAAGAAAAGGAAGAATAGGGAATAAACAATACATATGTTCGCTTATAAAGATGTCTCGTAATTAAATTTTGTTTTGAGTCTAAATCATATTACTCTGTCATAAGTTCTTGTGGATCTTTATTTATAATTCATTTTACAATCACTCTATTCGAAAAATGCGTCAATTATATTATCGAGCATTGATGGATTATATCGTAAATATTTATCTGGATTGTGTGTAAAATGTTTGTGTGCAAATTTTGTATAAAATATTTGAAATTTATCCAAAATTACGCGTTTACTTTGAGTTCGTAATTGATCACGTAATAGTACATCATCAACAGTCAATTCTAAATGCTGTTGACGAAGAGTATCAATAGCTGCATTCACCATGGAAAAACTTGTTTTCAATTGTTCTCGATCATGTTCTCGCAACTAGATAAAAAAAAATAGCAATACAAAGACAGAATAGACACAAACGAACCTGAAGGTCAGAAAGATGATGTAGATCATCATAGTCAAACATTTGTTGAATGTTCGTAATCATAGGTGTATAACTAAATATATACAAGAATATAATTAGATATTACATTTTTTGAATAATATACCATTTCAAATACATTTTGACACTTATTTTTATGATATTACGTAAGTCTGATCGAAGATTTGGTTCATGTTTTTCGATGATGGCTAACAAGGATGGACTGAATAGAAGATAAAATAAATATTTACTCCGATAAAATGTTCTATTTTCTTACTGTTCAAGTCTTTTAAAAAAATAATTGATATTATTTAGAAGAAATATTGCTTGTAGTGTTTTATCGTGATCTGGAATGAGTGTTTTCAATTTGTGTGAAATATTCATACGAAGTGATTGAATTAAATTAACTGAAATTAGTATGAAAAGATAATAAGAATATAAACAAAAAAATGCAATACTTATACCGATATATTCATTTAAGTTAAAAATGGATTTATTTATTGATAATGAAATAGTATCAGTGGCGACTTAATAAATATAATTATTGAATATAAAATATATAAATAAATTTTGTTACTTTTTTGTTCTTCGATATTAGTGAATTGAATAGTAGAAATCATAGGTTCATAATCAAAAAGATCTTCTATAAAATCGAATACATGTATTGTTAATGGATGTACACCACCACCTTCACTTAATGCTGATGAATCATTTTTTACATCATATAATATTAAATGAAAACATTCTATAATCTAAAAGTATCTTAAAATAAAAATTTGTATCAATCAAAATACTTACTGATTGTTCAAATATCGGCAAGAGTATCCCACTGAATTGATAACGTGAAGATACATCACTTTCCTGTAAGATATAAAACATTACTCTTAAAATCCTGTTTTCTTTTTACTTGATTAATCTACTCACTTGATAGAATTTTGTTAAAGTAGATTCAGATTTGTGAAACCAATTTTTAATTGAAAAAAGACCAAAGAAAGCAAGTTTTCCCGTATCTATTTTACCTGGTAATTGTTTAATTGCTTCGCATAATTGTTGTCCTTCTTCAAGGATATATGTTAATGGTAATTCCATTAATTTCGAAAGTACCATTGTTTTATATTCATTTTCGAAAACATAAAATAATAAATCTAAATCACGTAGCAGAAGAATGATAAATGCATCGAGTAAAAATTTATAATTATTTGTTTCTCGATTGTCAGTAAACGATACTGGAGGTGGTGCATGTTCGACATCAAGAAAATCAAAATGTACATTCATTTTTGGTAGGTGTAATAATGTAGGTTTTGATAATGATTCTCGACGACCAAATACAGGTGAATGTACGAAACGACGTCCTAATTCACTAATAAAAATTTGTTTCTATCGATATTGGTTAGTCAAAGAATATAATTAATTTACTTGATTTTTATTTTAACATGTTCTTTTATTGTATCTGTGCTGAGAGAAGAACGACGAGAGGATGAACAGGAATTAACGTTCAGTAGATTAATGGATGCACGACGTACAGATTTCTGTCGTAAATGTTCGGCTAGTCTACAAGATAAGAAGTAATTATGAGTGTCATAAATATAAACTACATACAATTTAAGAGATTTATGAACCATCATTCCTCTCTTTGTAGCATACGAATCAATAAGACCTAATTGAAATCCTTGTTCTTTAAACCAATCAAAGATAATACGAAATCCACTTAAACCAGACACTATAAAAAGTTGAGATTTGTATAAAAAAAAAGATTTTCTAAGTATCCTTACGTTGAATATCATCAGTATCGATTGGTGTGAATGATATTGATCGGCATAAATCAAGTAATTCTTGAGGTGGTATTGAGTTTGTAGATTTCATGATAAAATCATCACTTTCTTCAATAAGTTTCTGTCGTCCAATATTATATAATTCTATAACATATTTCTCTTCATCATGAACTGCGAGACTTTTGAAATATTTTAGCATATCATTAAGATCATCTAATTCAATAAGATAATCAATGAGATGATCGCTGGGACCAGCAGTTATTATTGAAAATAATATATTTCGCATTTTATAATAGCGAAAAGTAGAATTTATAGCAGAACTATTCGATTCTATACAAGCTGCTAGACGTCGTAAATGTTTATTTTCTTTATTAATTCTATGAATAAGCTTCATTACAGATTGAATTTCTTGTTCAGTATTGTCTGGTTCTATTATAATTTGATTGATTAGTGAATTTGACTCACATTGTTCCTATTCAAACATTGATATCAATTAATTATAGTACAGAATTTTTATAAATAAAGGTTTAGTTGTATTTACCTGTGACCAGTGAGGTTTTGAAGTCTGTCCATCATTTATTTGATTAATGTCAGTCATAAAAATACTTATTCAACTACAATCTAAAACAGTCTATTGAAAATTAACGGAAGTTAACATATTTGTAACTACAATTTGCTGGCAAAGAATCGTTACTACTAATTTATTCACTTATATATTAATATTCTGTTACTTGAAAATAAAATAATTCATAATGATTCTTTATAATATTATACTAAAATATAAAGGCAAAATATTGGTTCTGTGTACATAAAAGAAAAATATTTTAAGCGAAAACATAAGAATTACGCCCAGCAGCAGTATAAACACTACAATTTATGGTTCTGTTTCGTTCCATGTCTTTTGTAGACTCTTGAAATAAATAATACTGTATGCATTGGTTTATATATATTATTATTATATATTAAACAACGCATAAATTCTAAATACGAACGTTTAACCTCATGTAGTTATACTAAGCCATTATTGCGATAAAAACAAATATAGTAGTTAATAATCAGCTAGTTATGATAACTATATCAGTTGTTCATAGTCATAGTTTATTATCTACATTTTCGTTATCACGCATACATCCTTCTTCGATATAATAGTAGTAACTATAAAACAAAAAAAAGTAAAATTACTAAAAAAGATATGCTTCGGATAGACCATATTTGTATTTGATAAATAATGCTGTACGAATATATAGGATTAAGGTTTTCGTTGTTAATATTGACTATTACGATTATATGGATGATGAGATATTAACAAAGCTGGAAAGTAAATATTATTCTTTTTACGATCGATTTAACTATTCTTTACTTTTCAATTCTACACGTACCACAAATATAAATATCATTCATCTTTTACACCAAATAACCTATTCCTTCCATGAAGGCAATTTCGAAATACTCCATGTATCTGTTAATCGTCACACATGATTCTATGCATTATTTTGTATCAATGTTTATTCGATTTCTGAAATCTATTCTATTGGTAAGAGTTAATCTTACTAATATGAATACATTCTATTGTTGCTTTTATTCAGTATAGTTATAATTGTGATTCCTAAATACTGTAATGAAATTAGTAAACATCAGTTATTGCCAACAATGAATGTAGTTGTTTGTATTTCATATAATATTTGTTTATCGCTTCTTTCTTCTCAGTAGCACACAGAGTTAAATATTAGGACTCAAAGGATATATACGAAAGAAGTACATATAACTATGATACAGCATTTTGTTGGTAGCAGCGTTTGAATGATTTATTAACATTTAGATCAATGAATATGTAATCTTATTCAATCAAATTGAAAGACAAAGAGTTATATAATTCCCACAATAGATTATTTATCATAAAGTTCGAAATATTTTCTCCCTCTTTGAGTAATTATCAACTTTCTAATTAGAATTTTTCATACAGAATCAATCGATCCGCCATGGTACACTTTCATATACCTCTAGAATGATGTGTATGCTTTTTTTCTAACAGTGCTTACATTTCATTTCATCATCACATATTTTACTTCGGGTCGTAAGCTAAAAATGAAATTTCATTATTTCCAATCGGTTTATAGAAATATACTAAAGATTGCATCATGATATGTCGCAATAGTAACGCATGACTCAGGATAATTGTTTTTCTTACGCTTACCTTTAGGGAAATTTCGAAATATGATTTTTAAACTAGAGTATAAAAGACAATTTTTTAACGAACAAGAACATTCAAATCGAACATGTCTTCAACAGATACAACAGACCGATCTATAGCACCCGATCGGGAAGCTCTTAGTTTAATGACAAAATTAAAATTAGATCGATTCAAATTACGAAAAATAAAATTCGTAGAAGAGTATACTCAAATTATGGCACGAATTAATGATTCTACGATGTCATCTTTCGACAAAGTTCAACTTGTAAGCAAAAGTATAGAAAATTTATTTGGTGAAGATGGTAAAACACGATATTTAAAAAATTTGGAAACTATATTAACTATATCTAAAGCAAATACATCAACAACAAATGATTTTCTTGAAAATTTTTTTCAAAATCTAATGAAAACTATTGAAGGTGGTAAACGCCGTTCAGAATATAATTATCTATTTGGTTTAATTATGTCACAATGGCTTTCAAATCAACAAGATGAGTTTACACCGATAGAAGTAACATCAAATGATGAAAGTTTATTAACAAATGAACAATTAAAAGCAATTATTTTCAATAAACCGCAATTAGATTTAGATAAATGGCGTTATTTTCTTGAAAATAATCTTTTATCATCATCAGTTGATAAAAATCTTAAATCAAAAAAAGCTTTTGAAAAGTTAAAATTAGCAACAGAAAAATTTAGTAAATCATTATTGATGGAAAAGGTATCATCAGCGGATGTACAACGAGCTATTGATGGAGTTATTAACGGAGGTTCATTAGATGATTATCGCAAAAGACTTCTCATGAAAATGCGATTAGAAAAAAATACCGTAGATGAATTTGCTTCATCATTGAATTTGATGATAGCTGATTTAGCTGAATGGAATTGGCCTATAGAAGGTGTTCGTGGTGTATTTCGACGAAATCTAGTTGGAAAATATCGATGTTACTATGAAGAAAATTTTCTTACTGCTATTTTTCTTGAACATATTGGCTTAAAATGGAGTTATCATTTTAAGGAAGAATTGGAATTAATCTTTGATTTTTTAACTGAAAAAATCCAAAAGAATTGTTCATCAAATTCAATTCAAGATGAACGTATTAATATGCAAAAAAATGAATATTGGATGAGTGCATTACCAGATGAATCACATCTTGAATTTGGAATGGCTTCATATGCAAATGTAGATTCAGGAATAGCTTCATATGCAAATATAGATTCAGTTGATTTAAAAGCTAAATTATTGTATTTAATCAATGTCGAAATTCAATTACATCAAGTTTTACATGCAGATACATCATTTACTGTCGTATCTGCTGATCTAGAATGGTTTGGACCATCAATTCCACATGAAATAATACTAATGTTTCTTGAGTTTTGTGGAGTATCACAAATTTGGTTAAATTTTTTCGATCGTTTTCTCAAACAACCAATTTATTATAAACCCGGTGAATCTATTCGTCAACGTCAACGCGGTGTACCTATTGCACATTCGATATCTTTTTTATTTTCGGAATTAATGCTATCGGGTATGGATCTTTATGTTTATCAAAATACTGGCATTTTTAATTATCGTTTTCATGATGATTTTTGGTTTTTTGATTCTCAATCAGATAAAGTTACCCAAGCTTGGACATTAATGAACGAATATGCACAAATAACTGGTTTAAAATTTAACGACGAAAAATGTGGTTCCGTACAAATTCTACCATCGAATATAAGTGATCAAACTGATACATTATTGCCACATCGAAATGTCAAATGGGGTTTACTTACTTTACAATCAACTGGTCGTTTTGTTATTCATCGAGAAACTATTATTCCATTTCTTGATGAAATGAAAGTACGATTAACAAATGCATTAACTATTACTGAATGGATTAATTTATACAATCAATATATTGCATTTTTCATGCGTAATTTTGGTAAATGCGCTAATATTCTTGGAACATATCATACTCAATAAATGATTGAAACATTTCAATTTATTCATCAATATGTTTTTTCTGAAACTAATGGGAACGTTTTAACAGTTCTTATGAATTGCATAGCAAAACAATTTCTAGATTGTATGATGAATGAATTATGTGAAGCTTGGTTTTATTGGCCCATTATTCATGGCGGATTAAATTTAAAAAATATTTATTTAGATTTATACAGTATTCATAATCAATTACTGAACAAAAAAATGACTACTTTTAATCAATTACCAGAACGTGATATTGAAAAATATGCTGAAATTATGGAAAAATATGAACGAGGAAAAATTCATCGAAAAGATAAATCTCTTAAGAAATATCTTCATGATGATGAAACACTCATAAGTTTTGATGAATTTATACAGCGTCGTGAAACTCGTATTTCATATTGGAATGATGTTTATAAAGAAATGTTAAATACAACACCATCATTATCACCTATTATGACAGATCATCATAAAGATCATATACAATTCTTACAAAATACAATGACAAAAACATCATCTGGTAAAAGATATCATGCAGGAACGGATTATTACTTGGAATGGTTAGTTTGCTTTTACAGTCAACAGATTGAATCGACTTTTAATCAACTCGACTTTATTGATCCTGAAAATGTACCTGTCGGATTAATTTCATTGATGCAAACAACAAAAATTAATTGGAATAAAGAATAAAACAAAGATTAGCTATATAGTATCAATAATTAGACTTTCATATCATTAATTTTTTTGTAAATTTTGAGTATCAATTATTTACAATAAAGTAGTATTTTAATATAAATATTGACTTATTAATTTAACCCTCCAGCGGTGTTTGTGGGTCTAAGTGGCCCGCAGTAGTGTTTTTTTGTTATTTTCTGCTTTAAAATCTATGCAATTCGAAGCGATCTTTTCGCTAATCGTTAGTCTTCTAATGATACATAAGAACCATATGAAATTTCTTGTAAAACTATCAGCAGTCAAAAACTAGGGTGTAGGTCCGTTTGGACCCCCTGACAACATTCGTGTTATATAGATGATTTTAATTCGTATTACGTATGCCCTCTATTGTTTCGAAGGTCTATCTATTGAAGATTGATTAGTTTGTTGCTGCCAGTAAGGAATAATGTGTTTCTCTATCCTTATTTATCTATCGAAATATTTTCACCATCCTGTTAACTTTTACTCACGACAAGCGTAATTCTTTTTTTTTCTTGAAAAATCAGCATCTTACGTATACTACAAGCGTATCAATGCATCAGTGATTGAAAAGAGATCATGATATAGACCTTGATCTATCTTATATAGTACAATACAGATGAATTTTCATGTGTTCCTTATGTATTTACGTGTGGGTCCACTTGGACCCACATACATCGTTCGTGTGACAAAATGACGACACCTCCGAAGGGTTAAACGCTAACCTACATATAGAACTAATCGTATCATTAGGTTCTTCGGAAGGTGTATAGAGATAAATTTTTTTCTTTGATCTTGCAGTCATATAGAACTAAGCAATTACATTGTATAGTTTAGTTCAAAACATCGATATTATTCCATATATTGATTATTAGAGATAAAATTAATAACAGAAGAAAAAAGTTTAACAACTACGTATAATAACAGAGACCTAGACTATAAATATATGCAATTAAATTTCATGTTGAGTAAATTCTTTTAAAGCTTTTTCTGATAACATTTTTCGATCTATTTTACCAATTATATTTTTTGGTAAAACATCTAATATTCGAATATATAATGGTATTTTGAATTCAGCTACTCTTTCTTTTAAATAAGAAAATAAATATTCTTCATCTTCAACAATATTGATCGAATGAGATGAATGAAATGTTACATATACAACTGGTTTTTCTGATTCCATATATGGTATACTTGTTGCACAAACTTCATAAACATCATTACATTCACGTATTGTTTCTTCTAATTCTAATAAATTAATATTACATCCATTACATATAATAATTTGTTTTAAACGTCCAACAACATTTAAAATATCATCTGATTCTAAATATCCTATATCACCAGTTTTAATCCAACCATTCTTTATTATTTTTTGAGTAGTTTCTTGATCATTTACATAACCAGTCATTATTGTATCTGAATATATTGTTATTTCACCAGATGTATTATAAGGCATATCTTCCCAATTATCATTTGTTATTCGAAATTTTATTGTTTCATTTAATGGTTTAAATCGTCCGCATATAGGTGGATAATCAGCTGAAACAGCAACAGGACCACTTGTTTCTGTCATTCCATATGTTTCATGAGGATAGATGCCTAAGTATTTTCTTGATTTTTCCGAACTTAATTTAGAAAATTTTTCACCACCAACGAAACAAACTCGTAAAAAGTTTTTTCTATATTGTTTTTTAGTATATTGTTCTATTTCTTCAATAAGATTACGTAATAGGGATGATATACAGGCAAAACAAGTTATTTTTTGCTCATATAAAACAGATGGAATCATTTTCATATATTGTTTAGAAGGTAAATTAGTTGATAAATAATAAAATGTTGAACCATATCGTACAGCTAGAAGTATACCTAAATTTAATCCACTTAGACTATTAATTGGACTTATTAATAAAAATTTATCATTATAATTAAATTGAAGTGTTTTATATGTTTCTATATATGAGAAATGTTGTTTATGATTTGACTGTACACATTTGGATCTGCCAGTAGAACCAGATGTTAAATATATGATTGCTTCTTGTTCACCTGAAATTTCTTCTTCTTCTATTAAATTTTTGTTTTGATAAGTTTCATTCAAAAGATCTGTAAATGATAATATATTTGAATTCTCATTATGTGAACAATCAATTAAATAATAATAATCTTTTAATGAAGAAAATTCTTTACCCAATTGTTGAATATTTTTATATAATTCTAATTGTGTAATTAATAGTTTTGGTTGAGTATTTTCAATTAATAATCGAATTTCGAAATCACGAAATGATGGATGTATAATAACAACAGATACACCAATTTTAAAACATGCAAAATATAAATATATACCTTCTGGACAATTAAGTAGATACGATGCTATTCTATCACCTTTTTTCAAACCTTTTTGTAATAAACCATTACTTAAAATTGTAACTTTTTCATCTAATTCAATATATGTACATTTATAATTATCCGAATAAAATACAATTGCATCAGGAGAAATATTTGCTGATTGTTTTAAAAATGAATAAAGCATATTGTTATCAAATCAAATTTAATAGAGCTTAAAATATTGACCAAACGTAAATGAATGAAAAAAAGAAAGAGAGGTGTGTAATGATAAGTTGGAAGAGTATTGTTATCATGACTTGCACTTTGTAATATATATGAGCGAGAGAGATAAAAAAAGCACTGAGAAAGAGTGAAGTAGTCAATTATACAAATGGATAAGAGAATAAAAGCGAAATAGATAAAAGTGTGACAGCTTATTATCCAATTTGTTCAGGGAGAAAGTTTCAAGTAGGGAATAGATACGATTGTGTACATTAATATCGATAAGCGAATGAAAGAAATATGTTTCTGTTATATTTTAAAATCATATATGTTGACTATAGATACATTGTTTAAAAAATACTGAAGTAATTCTTTTTTTGTTAATTTGTTAGATCGATTATTATGCTTATCTTCAATAGTTTTTTTTTGGAACGTTATACTATTTTCCAGGACAGAGAATAATT